AGATGTAAACCATAATCATCACAATTATGACAAATCACAGCTTGAACTATCTTGCTTTCCATGTAACGAGTGTATCTCGTATATTAGTTTCACCTTTTAAGTTGCATTACTGAAATAAATGAACTTTTGCACGATATTCTAATTTTTCGAGTTTCACCTGTATATAGGTGATGACAATACAGGGAATATAGTTCTCAACCTCAACAACTTTAAGATGTGTGGACTTCAACTCCCAGAATTCCACACCATAATTACAGTCCAGTGATGGGATATGACCAATACACCCCGGTACGGCGTATCGGTGCCTTCAGGGAGCACCAGTACCGTTCTGGTACGGTGCTCCACAGAGTCCACCCGCCTGCCTGGCCGCCTTACTTGTATTTGAGCCGATCAGGGCTTTCACGCATGCACACGGAGTGTACGGTGCCTGTGCAATGCTCTGCCAAGCAGCTGGAGCATCACGAGCGGTAAGTTCGCATGCATATGCTGTGTGTGTGCTGCGCGCATGCACGCCAGGCCCCATTGCAGTATACCTGTTGCAACGGGATCCGGAAGCCAGCACTGTTAGAGTCTCTCTCTCTCTCCCAAAGTTTCCAGCCAATCCACTATTTTGCGTTCTTCTGCTGATGTCTCTTTTCTTCTATTCCCCAACTTCCCTTTTATCTTGGTTACAGATTGGCCAGTTCCGATGCCAGGCCCCCGTTTCCTGTCTCCAGCCCTTCCCTTGCAAGGACTCCTCTGTCCTCCTAATGGTGGGAGATTCCTTGGGCACGGTTTACTTCCTGGATTGGGGTGGCCTTCGTGCTTGAGAAGCTTTTGAATGCCACTTCAGCCTCTCCCGACGTGTTCAGCAAATCTCAAGCACTGGGATGTTGTTTCTTGGGACCTTAAAGTGATTCCTGTGTTGCGGTTGGTGGCGGCTTAATTATGTCGAGACTCTAGATTGAGCCTTACAATCAGGAGAAATAAAAATTCCAAACTCCACTTGATGATCATAGCGGAGCCTGGATTGAATACAATCACACGGTGTGCCTGGGACTATACAAATTTATATGGAATTTAAAGAGATTTTTCACACGAGATTTAAATGGAATTAAAATTAAATTTCCTTCGCTGCAGGCATTGTGTCTTTAGTCTTCTTTCTTTACACGTGCATTTGTTTGCTTCCACCTCTCAAGCCAAGCTGCCATTTTACTTTCTCTCGCAGGGTATTTATGAGAGCATTAAAGGTAAAGGTTCCCCTCGCACATATGCGCTAGTCATTCCCGACTATAGGGGGCGGTGCTCATCTCCGTTTCAAAGCTGAAGAACCAGCGCTGTCTGCAAATGTCTCTATGGCCACCACTAAGTGCTGAAGGCGCACAGAACACTGTTACCTTCCCACCAAAGGGGGGGGGGGTCCCTATTTTTCTACTTGCATTTTATGTGCTTTCAAACTGCTAGGTTGGTAGAAGCTGGGACATGTAACGGGAGCTCACTCAGTTATGCGGCACTAGGGATTCGAACCTCCAACCTCCCAATCTTTCTGATCGACAAGCTCAGCGTCTTAGCCACATCTCTTCCCCATTGGAATGCAAGACATTCCCCCCCCCCAATCATCTATTGAGTGGTTAATTTCCTAATTGGTGTGCAGCGTGTTTGCTAAGGTGTTCTGAAACCCGCAGGTCCCAAAGATGCATTTTTTCAAAAGGCAACTGGACTTTCTTAGTTTTTAATTTGAAAACAAGCTCGAACCACTGAACTGCCAACCATTCTGATTGACATGGTCAGCGTCCTAGCCACCAAGCCACCGCGTCTGTGAGAGCATTACAAGCTTCCTATTGTTTATTACAGAGGAAACTAAATATGATGAGTGAGGCAATTTAGGACTAGTTAAGGCAGACCTGGAATTTAAATTTGCTCATGGTCAACTTACGTAAGTCCTAAAGTTATGACAATTAGGACCAGAATTTCCATTGCTAAGCAGGATGGTTATTAAGCGGTAGGTGCTTTGATTTGAAAAACCTGTTTTTTTAACTTGTTTTATATAAACAGTAGTTAAATTAATCACCTGGCTTCTCCTGTTAACTTTGCTTGTTGGAAGCCAGCTGGAAAAGTTGCAGATCACATGACCCCAGGATTCCTGCAACCATAGTAACTACATCCTGGTTGCCAAGCACCTGAGGTTTGAACATGTGACCATGGGGATACTGGGATGGTTGTGTGAGGGATGGTCACAAGTCATTTTCAGTGTGGTTTTAACTTTGAACAGCCACAAAACAAATTATTGTAAGCCGAAGAACTACCTGCTAAGTTCCATTTCCCTTAACTCTGAAGAGTTATTCAGATTTTTATAGTCCGTACCCAGAAGTTCTAAATTAGTAAGTTTCACCTGAACTTTCTTAAGCTTTGAATACTTTCTTAGGAACACTTCTGTAGAACCTTTTGGAGGAATGATGGGAGTTCAAATGCACTACAAATAATACATCTAATATTTGGGGTTCCTGCTTCCAGATGAAGAGTAATTTTGAGGTACATTCACCATTCTGTGCATGAATTTGAGCAGCTGGTTTGATATGATCTGGGCCCAGAATGAAATGAGTCTTGGATGGTTTGGGCAGAAGTGATTGGGTGAGCAGGGCGAAGCCAAGGACATCAGCAACAGAACCAGAGACCCGCAATCATACCTGATTGAGCAGTTTTCCAAAATGTTCAGAACACCCCTTTTTAGAAATGGACCATTCCTGTTGTGAATAGCTTGTTTTCCCACCAATAAAAGTGAATGCAGCATCATGCTTCCATCAGTTATTTGATGCTTTCTGTAGCAGCACGTGAACTTGAGTTTGGTCACGGTGACCGCAGATCTTTTGTTAACATATTTTTATAATGTTGGGGCCAAGTTTTCCACTAAAAAGAATCCTACTTGGTGATGCAAACTTCAAACTGTTCTAAGATGGTATGGAGAAGCAGAGAGTGATCTGAGTGAAGTGGAATCTGATTGTGGTGAAAATTTTGTAATGGACAATGTTGAAACCACCCCCTTCCCCAACAGCTGATTCTGACATTAGCAATGATGAAGCTCCCAATGAAATTGATGACCAAGTACAATCTACATCATGTAAATCATTTAAATGGCAAGAACAAATTCAAATGGTCTTCTGCAACCTTTTGGAAGCAATAGATCCAGAACCGCAAGTCATAATATTGTTAGGCAATTACCTGGACTACGGCCAGCAGCTACTAAGCTCGAAATTCATCTCTACTCCTTTAGAGATTTGGAAATTATTATTTTCTTGAAGAAATTATTAGTGCCATCATTCAGCGGACCAATGTAAAAATTAGGAGTAGAAAGATTGAAATTCAAGGATGAAGAAACGAAGGGACCTGTGCGATGTGGATTTGATATTTTAAAATCATTCTATGCACCAATGTTTAGATCCAACCATGAAAACATCAAATGCCTTTGTGCTATTGAAGTCATGACCACATGTAATAGCATAGCCGAAATAGTATATCTGTGGTTAAGGATTAGCTCAAAACCCAGAAAGTCCAAAGCATTAAATTAAATTCTGCTGATTTGTCTATGCAGATTCCCAGATCGTCCAGATCTTGGTAATTCCCTGTCTGTTTTTTCAAAAGGTTTTGCTTTTCCATGAAGACATTTTGCTTCTCATCCAAGAAGCTACTTCAGTTCGGACTGTACGGTGAATTGTGGATTTATATTCCTTTCAGTAAATCCTTCCATCTTCCACCATTCAATCAGAATTGAAAAAGCTTCTTGGATGAGAAGCGAAATGTCTTCAGGGAAAAATGAAGTCCAGTTGCCTTTTGAAGGGGGAAAAGAAAAGCACCTTTGGAACCAGTGATTGATCTAAAACAGTTTGGCTAATCCTCCTGAAGTTTCAAAACTTTTTATGAACCTGCATAGTGAATATTTGGTCTACTAGAGAAAGGAGGACTATACGACCCAAAAATACAAATTACACTAATTAAAAGATACAAAGACATGTTATTTTCTTTCACCCAAGTCCGAAGTCATTGACACACACCGAAGAACAAAGTGACATTTATTCTTTTATTTTACAAAAATGTTAAACAATTGCTGTATTTCTACCAGATCTTCAGATCATACAAAAATAATAGTAATAATAATAAAAAAAAATCACAGCTATAAACCATGAGGATTAGCTTTCCTTCACGGCTTTCCTTCATTTTTGTCATTTAGGAGCCAGCTTTGTAACAAAAAAAATTAAAATACTGCAAAAGGATGAAACCAGAGTCGGTTTCAGGAGCTGATCTCTTCAGCCTCTCGGTAGAAAACAGCCATCAAAAAAAATAACCATCTGTGCTTCAGGATGTTGTTCTTGCACCGGTCTTTCTCTTTTTCCCCAAGTTCACCGAAGCAGCTTGAAATTGAAGCGCACCTTGAGAAGGTACTTCATACGCACCTGGTGCGGGTCATAGATAACAAATTCGTTGTAATTCAGAGTATAGCCGTCAGGGTTTACTACCCCGGTTTCTTTAGCTGGGCCCATGGGAACGGTTGCGCCATGCCTGGGCAGGAAGAGATGAGACCGTTATGTCGACTCCCTCAGATATTGCCACTGTTCCACCCACCATTTCACAAAGTTTTAACAGATTAGCAGATTTGGAAGGGACCTTGCAGGTCATCTAGTCCAATGCACTGCCCAAGCAGGAGACCCTACATCTGCCTCTACCTGGGATCGAACTCACAATCCCTGATTTGAGGCAAGAGCTCCAGTGGCTAGCATTAAGACACCATGTAGTTTCCACTTGGACATCAAGTATTTTTTTATACATTTTTGCAATACAGCCTTTCTTCTTTAAATAAAGGGATGTTTTGCTCGACCACAATTACTTAAAAATTCACAAAAAAGCTGCGAGCTCTCTCAAAGCTACAGAAATCAAGATAAAATGTGAGAAGTTTGAATCTAATAGTTCAGGCACCTAGTTCAAAACCAGGAGATGGTGAGTTCTAGTACTGACTTAGGCATGAAAGCCGGCTGGGTGACCTTGAGTCAGTCACTTTCTCTCAACTCAACCAACCTCACAGGGTTGTTGTGGGAAAAAAATAGGAGGAAGGAATATTAGATATGCATGTTGCCTCAAGTTATTTATAATAACAAAGGCAGGAAACAAATATAAATATTCCACCTATGTTATCTTTTTTCTTTGTAGTACCCAATTCGTATTTGCTCAGGAAGAGAGCATGGAAGAAGCTCGTGCATTTAACTTCATTCTCTTTTAAAAACCAAATCTCAGCATTGTTTCCACCCCTCTAAATCTGANGTACCCCCCTTCCCTGATTTGAATTGTGAGCCACCCTGAGTCCCCTTCGGGGGAAAAGGGCAGCATATAAATATAATCAAATCAAATCAAATCAATCAAACCAGTTACTGGAGCCGATCTGGATTGGAGACCAGGACCAGAGATTTAGTCTTCTGAGCCCATCTTCAGTAACTTCTCTCTCACCATAATCTGTGTTTTGGGTTATTCTATGCATAGTATTTATGTGGTGCCTGACTATGTGTGACTTTTTAGTTGTTGATTGGGGTGTTGATGGCCAGTTATTAGGCCATTGGTTGTTGTTTCCTTGTGCTGCCAAGTTCTCGGCTCCCAAGGATCTTATGAAATCAGCTCTCCTGTTGACTGACAGGGGGCTCGTTTCCCAGGCTTAAATAATTTCCCTGGCTATTTTTGTACTGCTCAACCAACAATCTGAATAGCTGCCAAATTGTATATACAGTATGTCCTTGTTTATTGCAATGTGAAGCTATCAGTGAGTTCAGGTCTTCACATCTGACTGCTCACTTGGGTTCCTGCAATCTGGAGGTTAGCTTTCTCCCCATCTGTCCTATTTAGTCACAGGGGCAATCCCATGCAGGGGATCATACCACTTACTGTTGTTAAACTAGGCCTGATGCATCAGCTAAAATTTACTCTGCCTCCTCTTCTTTCTTCTTTAGATCCACTGCGACACAATTACAGCTTTGCATCTAGTGGGAGACAGGATTGTAACAGCATCCCGCGACCGGGATGTGAAGATTTGGGATGGCAGCACGATGAAGCTGGTGAGTGTCTCTGAACGATGCTGGGCTGAAGTTAGGCAGATGCTGTCACTGACCTCACCTTATTATCCCTCAGTGCAACTTTCATTTCCCTAATTGCCTTTTCTCAACACATGCCAAATGCATTTGAAATGCATTTGATGGCCATAATGCCTGGAGTTAAGCTAGAGATCCCTACTTCTTATGCAATTTGTTTATACAAAAAAACCTATCTACCGATAATAACTGGTTTTAGGACCTAGACTTGGATCAACCATTTACTGTATATATTTCTAGCTAGCTAATAACCCAGCATTTCCTGGGTATTTATTTATCCCAAGCTGTTTGACGTCATGGTTCTTTCCTTGTATGTAATCTGCGTGAAGTACAATAATAATCCTCAAGAATAATCAAAGCCTTGTTGAAAATGTCTGGAACAAACGTAATTTCTAATGTTGGATTTTCCCCCTTACCAGAGGGAGCTCCCTTGTGGAGTACTGTGAAACCATTACCATGGCAACTCCACTGTGCTGTACAGTAGAAGCCATTTTACAGCAGTATGGTAGAAGCCATTTTAAGGCACATCAGGCTGTATCTTAACAGAACACACACCCTGAAGGGTGTTAGGGGTGTCTTATGCCAACAGTATTTCTTTCCAGAGAGTAAGTCATCTGTGTACCAAGTTTGGTTGAAATTACTCGAGGCATTCCAGAGTTATGCTGGAACATACACACAGACACACACACTAGATAGATAGATAGATAGATAGATAGATAGATAGATAGATAGATAGATAGATAGATAGATAGATAGATAGATAG